AGAAATAAAATTAGTAAAACCAATAAAAAAGTTATCATGGGATTCGCTTGTTATATTAGAGAGAGAGAATCGATTCTGGCCATCAAAAGAAGGAACAAGGAAGAAGGATGGATGGATTCCGAATTAACTACATATTATCTTGAGGAAGAAGAAACAGTGAATACTGATTTGCAGCAAGAAACACAGTCATTGGAAATAAATATTGATTTACAACAAGTGCTACATTTACTGAAAACAAAGCAAGAAATAGTGGATATTGATTTGCAACAAGAAATACAGACATTGAAGAATACTGATTTACAACAAACACTACAGCTATTGAAAACAAAGGAAGAGAGATGGGGCAGGGGTGTAAAGAAGAAATAAGAGAATTTGTTATCTTAAAAAGGAATGATGTAAATTGATTGGCATGTTTATTGTGGTATGGAAAGGCTAAGTTATATGATTCTTTTTAAGTTCTTAAGTTACTTTACTAGAAAATTATTAATGTTGGTGGAGGAAAAGTTGTACTAAGAGATTTTTTTTCCTCTTTTTTTCTTACCCATGGAAGCTTCTCTATGTTTAAATGCATTGAATTCTGAAGGGATTATAAGATATGATCTAAACTGAGTTAAGAAATATAAGAACAGGGAGTTGAGCTTTTTCTTTGTTGGATACAATTGAGATATGTTAAAGATCATAATGCTTTTATAAGGAGCTAATAGCATTTGATTAAGTGATGCTTAAGTTAGATGAAATGCTAGCAACTTAGTATAAAGAAAATTTGTATAAAATCTATTATAGGTAGTAGTTGTTGCCAAATAGATTAGTTAAGATGTTTCTAAAGATGTTAAATGGATGTTGGGTATTTAAATGTAATGGGTATTTTTATTATATAGAATAGAGGAAGTGGTACAAAAAATTTTAGTTTCTTAAACCGGAAATTTCTTTTTTAGTAGGTATTATATTGGAACACTAGTAAATAAGAAATGTATTTGATTTTACTTGTAATTTCTGTAGTGAGGAGTCTATTTGTTCAATACTGGAAAAATGAAGAGTTACTCTTCAGCAAAATGATTTTGGCTGTATCACTGAAGGAGAAAGAAGATACTGACTTCTATCAAACTTGGGGGTTTTTTTATTATTGGCTGGAAAAACGGGACTTGGCTTTAAGATGTTTTTATGTTATTATAAATGGATTTGAATATGATTATAGAATGTTAAAAGATATGTAGTAGGGGGCTGACCCAGTATGTCCGATGTATTTCATGATTGATGTTTTTAGTATTAGTTTAAAAATCTTAATAAAAATCTTTAAAAAAAAATACAGGCAGTCCCTGAACTACGTATGCCCAAGTTACAAAAAACCCATACTTACAAACTGTCCTGAAGCCTATTAATTTAAAAAACTTACTGCAGAAAATCATCATCACCAGAGAAAGAGAAGCAAAAGGAGGGAGTGAAAGGTTTCCAAAGCAGACCTGCCTGCCTTGCCCATCCAGAGAGGGAAATCTCTCCGGCATTTTCTTCCTGCATGAAGGAGACACTGGTGAGATATTGGAGGATTTTACACTTTGACGGGTGTCCTGTGTCCTTAACTCCCACAAATGTGGAAGGCCAACTATACGTGATCTTAGATACAAATTTGACTTAAAGATGAATTTCCATTTTCCCAGGAATGGAACTTGTTCATAACCAGGCTGTATACTTGCAAGAAATGTTTCTGCTCCTTTGGGGACAATTTTTGTAACCTTTAAAAACATACTCTACAACTTCCTTTCCTTTTAATCATGGCAACTGATTGATTACTACACCTTGCTCCTTAAATCTCCAGAAATCTTTATATTATATAATGTGTTCCTTACAAAAGGGGGGACCTACTCAGCAACTTTCAAAAAGTGAAACATACCCACCCTGGAAATCCTTTAAAACAATGTGGCTCCCCTCGCACTTTCTTAACAATAAATCGCTTATCAACCCTTCAAGCAGAAAGCCACTGGGCATGCAGCTTTATGAAGATGTGGCACTGCCCACAGAGGAATTCTTAAAAGGAAATTATGGGTTGACCATACCGATACATTTCTCAGATTTAGAGCTAGACAGCCATTAAAAGATTTGCATATTTACATGAGCCACAGGTTCCAGTCTAGATGTCCTTTCCTGGACTATTGTAGAAGCATTCTATTTTTCGCCTCAGCTACAAATTGGCTATAATTCTGCTCCAAAGCTAGCAGAAAAGACTTCCGCCCAATTGTTTCGCTCCAGAACCATATTCTCACCTGCATATCTACATGCAGACTAAACATGTGAGAAGAGTGTGAACTGATGTTTTGGCTCTGGACCCAACAAGTATTCCCCAGGAAACAGAATCATCGACAGAAGCATGTTCCCATACTTTGCAAGAGTGTAACCCTATACAGAGCAGGATGAAGACCATATCTAGGGACAAAACCACTCACACTGAAAAACATGCATGAAGGGTTGTAACAGTTGTTGGGCAAGACCCAGCCCTTGCTGCCAGTATCAGTTTTGGCCAAACACCCCACCAACTGCACAGCTGGTTCTGATAGGCCATACACACAGCTAGGGATTCTCCATAAGGGGGAATCCTGGGCCAGTTAGGAACCCTCTGCACTGAGGAGTCAGGCAGGTGAGTGGAGTATGGACTTCTGCTGCCTGAAGTGCTTATACACTACATAAATTTATGCCTGCAAAAAACTAACCACAGCAACTGGAATACATTAACTAAAATACAGTCACGTGTTCTGAGCAATGAAACTTTGTCTCCTTTTGAATATAGCTATTTATTCATAAATATTCATTTACTGGTTTTCATTCTATTCCTCACATCCTTCAAGGAGCTCAAGACAGCATATATGGATTCCCCATTTCATTTTCACAACAATCCTTTGATGTTAGGCTGAGAAACAATGACTGGCCCAAGCCTAGGTAGTGATTTACACCAGGATCATCCTGGTGAATGCGTGTATCACAGAGCAGACGAACACTTAGGCAGAGAGCACAAGCAACATCCGTTCTGCAAAGCACAAGTATCCGGGAGTTTTCCACTAAGCCAGATCCTTTCCACAAGCCGCAATCAAAATTGTTTCTCTTGCTACCTACATTCCAATTCCAAACTGATCTTGGAACTGATCTTTGAAAACCCATACACCCACAACTACACTGCCCAACAAGGAAATCTTCTGGATCATCAATAATTGCTAGGGAAAACATAACAGCACAATCTGAAATCCCAGTTCCAGCTTGTGGAAGGGAGTAGGCAGAGGTGACTTTCACTTGGGAAGAGCACTAAGTCTACTGGCACTATTCTAGAGCCAGCAAAGACCCTGAAATGGTGCATTACAGAGCAGACATGGCTGAGCCAAAGCCCACCATCAGGAGATACTGTAGGAATTTACCATCTTATGGCTATAAATGGGCAGGGGAGTTTTAAAAACTCTGTCCGCCCTTGTGCTGGCCAGGGCACAAACCAGTAGGGTTTGGGATGATCCTACAGATCTTCCCAATCCCAATATGGATTGTACCATAAGTTATCAGCCATTATAATGCAGTCCATTTGTGCAAGTTTTAGATTCTAGCATTCAATTACTTTTTAATAGTTTGTAAGGGTTCTTTTCAGTACTGATTCTGCATTGCTTTGTATACTAGCACTGTTTTTCTTCAATTGTTAGAAAAAATTTACTAATTTTAGTGTCATGACCAAACACACACACAGACACAACCACCTTGAAATAACTTTTAATAAATTTTAAAAATGGAATTACTCTTGGAACCGGTTTTATATTTTTGCAATTGACAGATATCAAGATTGCTTTTCTTTGATTTTGTTAAAAGTCCCATAAATAAAAAAATCTAATTAATCTATTCAATATGATGGCACCTAAGACACTTTACAGAATTAGATCATAAATTTAAGAAACATGTGAGACTAATAAATCCAGAGTAAGATTTTGCTATCTGCAAGCAAATGGGCACGAGGCTGCTGTCTCAGGCACCATCAAGTTAGTTACTTATGTGAACACGTGTACAACCAAACAGCAGTTTCTTTGCAAAATTCACAATCTGCAAGGCTTTACCACTTAGAAAGCAATGTATCAAAGACATTAAAATTGCCTCACAGTTCTATTTCATTTTTAAATATGTTTGAATCCTTCATAGCAGTGAACAAGCAGTTCAAATGATAGCAACGGAACAACTAGCAGGTATTTGGATGGCAAATCACACAAATTGCCATTTTTTTTCCTTGACAACCAAACAATATTGTACAATTCTGAGTAAATGAAAAATTCACAGTGAAGAAAAGCTCCTTGCTTCCATCTTGGAGAAAGAATGTACATGTGACTGTGATTTTTGTGATTTCATGCAAACTGAAAATGTAGCAGACTCTCGTTCAAAGTGGAAGACGGCTTAGAAAGTTGACCTCAAAGTAAAATCTTAAGAACCATTGATGATTATTATGAGAAGGGAATTTTGTGTCAAATCTGATAAAGTTTACTAAAAATAGAAGTTTAAAAGCTGATCAGTAGCTAAGCATGAATTACATTTTGAAAGTTTCCATCCCCATCTTATCTTATGAAGGCATGTGAGACTTCTCTACCTCAGATAGCAACTAATGGCAAAGCCAGATGCTTATAACGTCGGGAGCAACAACACTGAATTAAAGCTGCAACACTGAATTAGCTCCAGGGAAGACAAAGATGTCATCATACCTGCCCAGCTCATGTAAACAAGAGATTTGAAAAGTGTATTAATCATGTTTATAGACCATCGTTTTCAGTACTATAATACTTAAGGTCAGTATTACTTAAAAGAGCCAGACCATAGCATAGATCCTTGCCACTAACAAAACTGGGAACGAAGATTGCACTACAGACAAGTAACTTAATAGTAGGCATCAAGGTGTATTTTCAAGGGCATTCAAAATTCCTGATTGATGCGATGAATTCTTACTGCCAAATGTTATCAGATGCGCTTTCCCCAGAGAGTAAAGATAAAGTGAAGATAGTGAAACCATGCTTTTCCTTGTTTAATGAATTTTAACAAATCAAAAACCAAACACATAGGGAAATTCATTTGTTGAAGGCTTCAATTTCTGAGCAGCTGAGGCACAAAACAGTCTGAAAAGGCTTTATGGATATGTGGTCATGTAGCATTACCTCTGGTTATTGCAAAGTATTTCTATGTCTTTGAGATAAATATTTAGAATTTCATAAATTCATTTCAGCACCTGAGTGATTGTGTTAATTGAATATGAACAGGTGGAAAATAAAACATGTTGCACAGTTTTGCAAAATGAATTAATGTTCTGTTTTCTTCTTGTCTTTTCTTATTCTTCTGTTCTTCCCTGGCTGTTTAGATAAATTTTCCTAGAAAGGGGAAAAATCAAATGAACATGATTTCATAATTATTTTTTCTGCACAGACTACCCTGATTTTATTAACACTTTCAGAGATAAATACTTATAGTAAATAATCTGTTTGGGCTTGAGATCTATTCCTATTTTGCAAAGTATTCTGAAACAATTTATACTTATAGTATTTACTGAGATTATTTTGCAGTGAAGAAAGTTGGCTATACAATGATGTAAAAAAATTCTAATTACTATTAACATAATTCTACTGATAGTAGAAAGGATCCAAATCAACTTACTACAATCAAGCTGTACAGCTGAATATGGGTTTCCTCTAAGTTTGAATGCCAGAAAATACAATTGGTTCACTATGGTTTTTTGCTCCATATGAAACCAGATAATTTATTAATGATGTCTAGTAAATAAATCAACACCATTCTTTCACTGATACAGCAGAGCACATAGCCCAACTTTGTCCTTCAGTCTTCCTCTTTACTACTTATTCACTAACTTCTGTCCTCCTGGCTTGCACTACTGGGAAGAGATTGGTATCAGTAATGCTGTATATGATATATGCTTTGTACAGCAAACCTGCTATAGAAGCAAGATAAAAGGTTTAAAATCCACAACAGCCAACCAAAGACAAGAGTATCTGACTTAAAATTTTTTAGTTCTCCTCAGAAGCTGTTCCACAGAATCTCTGCATTGCTCTTTAACTGTCCCACAAGTTAAAACAAAAGTTTGGATTTGGAGCAAAAGCTTCTTTAAAAAGCAAAATGGGGCTATCCCCAAGACCATTTTCTCTAGAAAAATATCATAAGCAAACAAGTTCTAAACTTGAAGAGTAAAGAGAAGTCTTTCTGTTGTGTGGACACACCTTCCAAAACAGGGGAAAAAATCAGGTGCATGCATATCAGTCAAGAGAGTGTTCAAGATTATATGTGCATTTCAGCTCTACCAAATGAGTACATAAAAACAAATATAGGAAGGAGCAATTAGGTTGAACTTACAGAAGAACTGGTGTAGTTCTGATCCACAAGTATATTTCTGGCACAATTGTTGATATGTTTAAAACGATCTGGTCCTAGCAATATACCACCATACCAGCGGGACACCACAACCAAAACATTGCGGACATTTAGGATCTACATAAACACACACACATGTATTAATATATGGAAGATGAGCTGTGATTTATCTGGACTCACTACTTGTCAATTCAACCCAAGGGGCCTCAGGAATATTATTTTGGGTTTATTGGAGTAGCCAACTCCATTGGTTGAAACGAACTAGCTCCATAAATCAATTTGCAGGTAGCTTACTTCTCTAAACCACCATTTGACTACAGTCAGAATTTTCACTGAAGTTTAACCGAATTTCTTAATTCAGCCTTACAGCTATGCTGGAGGAAGAGGGAGAAAGGGGAAACTAAGGAAATCAGACGCATTTGATGGGCAAGCTTAACTTCAACTGCAAGAACCACTCCAGCCATCCAGCCTCTATGTGTGGATCAATGAGAAAGCACAGGCAAGGAGTGATGCATCTTGGGATTGGATTTCAGGCACAGTGGCTGATAGGATACATACCAACAGAGGGAGGATGAAAACCATGATAAAGTAGAAAGCACTTGAGTGTTTGTGAGGTAGATGATGGTTAAAAAAAAAACATGGCAACTACATAGAGTTGCTCATCATGTCTGAATACAGCGACTCTGTGATGCAGTATCACCACATTGTAAAACTATTCAGCCCCACCAGTCAATGATGTGGAGTATGAGCAGGAAAAGACACTGCACATTAAGAGAAAGTGAGGGAAAGTAAGACTTGAGCTACTATTTCATTTTCAGTGCCCCTAAATGTGCTATTTTTTACTTCAGATTCTTATAAGTTACACTCCAAAACTTAACTCTCCACCAAATGGCATCTGGCTTGTCAAACTGTTTGAAAACAGTTCTGTATATATTTTCACCATCTGACTCCTATCTGCTAAACACTCTTGAAAAAATGTAACATTTTTCCAGTGGGCTGAATTTATATACACCTACTAACAGATATTTGCAGAAGAGATCTTAGTTTAGTGCTGTAGATTCAAATAGTGAAACAAATGCTATTTTCTCATTACCAATTGATTTATTTTACCTGCATGAGGTGGAGAAGACGGCCACCTGCAGCTGTCTCTCCATCATCTTCACAGTCCTGTAAAAATGTCTGCTTGTCTTCACAGTATATTCTGAATATAAAAGAGTAACAGATAATAATGCAAAGGTGTTCCTAGCTATCTGTTGCTAGCCAGCACAGCATCTCTCAAGAAATCTGTTTGCTTGTGGGACCCATGCTTTTACCAATTGCTCTAAAATCCATGAATAAGTTCGTGCAATTCTACTGTTGGGATCCTGAAACTTGGATCCTAGTGATGAAGCAAACACCTTTGGTGTAATTACCAGTGGAAATTGGCTACTTACCTGTATGCATATATGTTGTGAGTCGCATTGGCTATTTTCTTATTTTTGTACAACTCAGCAAGAACGCTTTTCACCTTGGAAGGAGAAAGTGATAAAGACTTAAATGCTTCAGTTTAAGGTCTTGCAGAAGCCTGATTAGCCACGGCTAATTCTAAATATTTAAATGCAATTAATGAAAGCTTACTTCCAACTATAATATAGTATGCAGCTATACTCCCTACCTCTACATTCTAAAAAAAACAAGCAATTATTCAGACACAATTCCTTGGAAATAAGTGATGTGGGGGTCAATGAGATACTTCTGAACATATGTACTTAGGATAAAAGCCTAGCAGTGAAAATGACAAGACACAGACGGAAAATAACACTCCTCACGTGGGAAAGACCATCTGCTTAACTGCAGTTTTTAGTATAGTCAAGGAACATAATAGCCACATAACTCCAAGGGCTACATGGGCAACATAGATCGGTTGTTGCCTCTAACCCTTCCCAAAACAGTAACAACTGCATAAATGTTTGGACTCCAATAAGCCCAAAGGTCAAATTCAAATCTGGAAAGATCTAGGAAGCCACATTCTATGAGTAGGATTAAAATGTGATTATTGTCAATTCTATTGCATCTCAGAAATAAGTTGTAGAAAGCACCTGTTCACAAGTAAGCAAAATGAGTTTTTAAAGGACAAACTTCAGAAGTAAGCAGGACTGAATGACTCACCCACTTTCTCCCATACCCTTACCTCCTGTCCCCAGAAAGGAGTTATCCCATCCCAACATCCAAAGACTGTAGATGGGGCTGGGAGGAGGAGAAAAGGAGCAGGAGATTGTTCAGATCATAAGAAGGCTGCTTCTGAGGACTGATGTCTTTACTATCAGTCACCCTCCAAGCTCATCTGCTGTTCCTTGGAGGAAAGAGCCAAGAACTTGGCTTATATACCAACTGCTAGGGGTCAAAAGACTGCCACCACCTTAATTATAATTAACTTACTGTACATGTTAGTTGTTAGCTAATTGGAAAGATGGTCTTGTCTAAAAATTAATCTTGTTTTCCCTACATGAACAGAACAGAGTTCACCGAACTGATACTTCCTGCATTCTCTTTCATCTCACAGAAAATCTCTTGGAGGTTATTTATAAAAAGTTAAACCATTTATTTCAGTGTGTTTATTCTAAATCTTGATCCAACTTGATCCTCTGGGCTGTACACAAGTTTCTATGTCCTATCAAGTCTTTCCTCCCCAAAACTAAAATCAACAGAATTCAAATCTTTAAGTGTTTACTGTCTAATAAGTTACAGAATCTAAGGTGTTAACCTCTGAAAATAACTGAGACTTCTCCAACTCTCCTTTACACATTTAATTATTTATTAAGCTCTTAGTATCTACTGCTCTGTAGGCACTAAGTGCTCAATAAAGAATTAGATGTTAATTTATTAGTTGTCTTTTACCTATGTTGCCTTAAACATAATAACTATTATTCTATTCTTATCATGTGGCTTATGTTTCCCTGTACTAGACAAATGCTGTAATAATGAAATTGTTTTAATAAACATTGCATAATTAATACCACTTTAAGCAAAACATTATTAAAGCTGAGAGAGCTTCAGAAAACATGCCTGGCAAGCAAATAGCTTTTAATTCAAAGTGGAAAAAAATCATCTCTCTAGAGTTATCAAAATACATCTTCAATATTTATTTTTCCTGTATTCCCATTATTTCTCAGCAAATTCACTTACTATGCTGGAGAGAAAACCACAGCTACAGCATTACTCAAGAAACAGTACATAGCATCTCCAAAGAGAATTGTCTTTGAAAACATTTTCCCAAATCAGTCACATACACACACACAATATTATATTATATAAATATATGCACACCTTTCCAGGGGGAAGAGCAAGGCAAATAATTAACCATGTTTATAACTTAGTATGTGCACAAGAAAAGCATAATTCTATGCTTCCTACCCAGTTAAGTCCCACTGGGCTCAATAAACTTACTCGAAAGTAAGTGCATATTGCAAGGAACCTGGTGGATATAAATAAAAAGCAATATAATCTAGGGCAGGAAGTCACTTTGTTGCTGCTATTGTTAAACAATTGGTAATGAGAAATCCTTGCTGATTTTCTGCAAAAGCAACCAGAGATCTACCAGGAAATTCATATCTAGATTTCTGCCCTTCCCTGGGCTAGTTAATGCCTACATGACTTCTTAAATAACATAATCCAGAACTGAGGATACCATTGTTTATTTAGTGTAGCCCACCAGTAAGCTTCAGGCGAGAAATGTAGCCCCATAGATCCAGAAAGCTGCCATTCATCTCTGTCAAAAAATTTCCAGCTAATTTACTTGACAGTGTAGGTAATGGTATTTAACAATACAGTATTTTATGTAAATTGAATAAAACAGTCTGTAATGAGTGACAGGATACCAATATCATGACAGTGAAAACAATGGAACTAGAATTAAATGTATTCCTATGAGAATATATTTAGTCTTCATATATAACCACGAGTACACAAAGTAATGAGATGGTTAGCTGAAATCAAGCTTTACCAACCTGTTTGGGGCTCACAACCGGTGCTGAGTGTGCCTGGAAAGTGCTTCTTCGGTCTGTAATTGGGTTTCCATGAAAAATTGGAGGTAGTTCCTCACCTGTACATTTAAGATCAGATTTTATACATGGATAGACAGGAGTCTATCTACCTCAAAAAGAAATTGAGATTGCTCCCATTAAATTAATCTGACTACTCTGTTACAATTAAGATCACCCATATCACATTGATTTCATATTGTGCTTTCCCTCAGCTTGTCAAGTTTTCTTTTTTTCTGACTGACTACAAGTCAGTTCCATGAGCCTGATCATGTCTTGCAAGGAAAATGCAAAATTTATGTTTGCTGGTTTGGATGAATGGTGCCCTGCTATATGCAATGTTCCATTCATTTCTTTCGGAAACCTCAGAGGAATCTGCAGAATCCCCTTCCAGATCTGCAAAGTGAATGATTCATGAAACCTCACAGTCTTCTTTAAATTCAACTGTTAACTCAACAAGAGATATAGTTCCTCATTTTTATAAACTAATTCATCTCTTTTGAATGTTTAAATTTTGATAGTTTTTGTATCACAAAAAGCTGTCTCCAAAGTCACTCTTGTAGCCAGAAGTTGTGGGAGGGGATGCATAGAGATTAGAGTCCCAACTCCAATCTCAAAGCAAGTTTCCAAAGTCAGGGCTATGATTCCAAATACTGCTGTAACCATCTAGACTCTTTTTATATCATAGTTAACTACATACAAGTAAAACAAACATACTAAATTAGAATTCTTTCTGACAGGGGCGGACAGCATGTAGTCTTCCAGATGTTTTGGCCTATGACTCCCATCAGATTTAGCCAGCGTAGTTAAAGCTGAAGAATGACAGCATTACCTGCTATTGTTGTTGCTAGTCATGAAGTCGCACCTGACCCATCGCGACCCCACAGGCAACATTCTCCAGGCCTTCCTGTCCTCCACCATCCCCCCGAGTCCACCTAAGCTCACACTGACTGCTTCAGTGACTCCACCTCATCCGCTGCCGTCCCCTTCTTCTTTTGCCATCAATTGTTCCCAGTATTAGACTCTTCTCCAGTGAGTCCTTACTTCTCATTAGGTGGCCAAAGTATTTGAGTTTCATCTTCAGGATCTGGCCTTCTAAAGAGCAGTCAGGGTTGATCTCCTCTAAGACTGACCGGTTTGATCGCCTTGCAGTCCAAGGGACTCGCAGGAGTCTCCTCCAGCACCACAATTCAAAGGCCTCAATTCTTCGGCGCTCAGCCTTCCTTATGGTCCAGCTTTCACAGCCATACATTGCAACTGGTTTTCCCAGTTGCAAT